CTAACCAACAGAAATGTGGCTAGTGAAGGGCTCATTGGGTTTGGAAAAGGGTGGAGCCTTCAACAGTAGGATTTCCCGTGTCTACAGGGTACATGGCTGTGTTAGTTCCACTTCTTATTCAATCAGCGGGCACCTGTCACAGTGCTGGGGCTGTGACAGCAAACGTGGCACCCAGGGACTGTCTGTGCCATTCACGCGTCCAACCTGGTGGCAGCATCAGAGGTCACAGATACTAGACAGACTGAAATGTGACAAGAACAGGACAAAATGATACAGGAGCACTGATGGGACGATCTTATCTTCTTAAGTTAGGCTTTGAGGTGCTTCTGGTCCTCTTTGCCCTTTACACAGAGGAGGTTGAATGGCTTTTTAGAATTAACAGCTGAAAAGATGGTTTTCTACCTTAAAATCCATGTATGTATTAGTATAATGCAGCCTGACTATCAGTTTAAAATGGGTCACCATGCACAGTACAGAATTAAAGACTTCCACTGTTTTGGGCTAAAATACTTGGAGCACTTTTCCCTGATCCCTGCTGCCCCTCTCATTCCCCCCATTTCCATTTATCACGACATCGGTCGTTGGCCACAGCCACTGACAGTCAGGAGGAAGGAAGGAAGCTAGCAAGTTTGAACCCCAACATGTGCCAGACTCTGGGTGTAACACTTTTATGGACAGGAGATTATTTAACCCTGATAACCTCTCCTGAGGGTAGGAAGTGGAATCATAGATGAGGAAACAGAGGTTCTGCAAAGTCAAGTAACTTGGCCGCCTGTGTTTCTGGGCAATGTGAGTGATAGCTGATGTCCTCTGCGACTTAAAAGACACTTTTACAAATTTAAACCAGAGACCTATCGAATATACCAACTCGAGGCCTGTAACTTTGGGTTTTTTTTCTGTGTTTCTTTAGCAAGCAGTCTAGCTGTGTTTGGGTAAGTAGGAGGTGCCTTTTTAAAAGTTCTCATAGTTTCAAAGAAGAGAGAGGACACTTCGTTTCGGGCTCTCTCCTCTTTGGCTCCTACTAGTCTGCATGAATAGCCTTGGAAGCATGAGTGGTAAAAACTGCTTCATACCAAGACCAGACACCTGATTCAGAAGCTCTCCACGGGTGTGTGTGTGTGCGTGTGTGTGTGTGTGAATAACAAATCCACAGTGTGCTCCTGGTTCAGGAGAAATGATCTCACTCTCCAATTGTAACGAGCCTCATGCCTGCTTCCGAAGGTGGGGAAGTCTGCGGTTTTACCTGGGGTGTGATCCTCAGCCCTTGGCCGTTCTTATTTTAGGCACGACCTGGGTGTTTTTTTCAGACTCCAGAAGTGGAATGACATGTTACTCAAGTTTACAAGATGATGATGTATCTGTTTTTATATCTAGCTGTAAATTTTATTCTACTCATAAACAAACCCACCTTTAGCAACCCGGGTGTACCAAAGGGAGAGTTATTTCCATCCCTTCGGTTTAATTTGGATATGCTTGGCTTAGAACAGCACAGTGTTTCCATAATAACATTTCCACAGGATGCTGCTGTGTTGATCTGCAGGGCTCAGGGAGTTTCACCATGGGCCAGGAAACTACTTTCTTAAAGAAACTTAAACATGAACTTCTGACAAGATAGGAAAGTCTTGCTGGGTTCTTCATCAAGCCTCTCTTTTTCTGCTTTCTGATTAATTTACGTACCTCTGCATTATGACACAGGTATAGATGGACTAGTTAACTAATTCAAAGTCAGTGTGCCCAATCAGGAATGCAAACTCAGAAGAAAAAGAACGATTTCAAGGGCTTCGTTGAATAAAGCACGTATAAATAAAAAATTAACTTAAACATTTCTCCCAGGCACAACATGTTATAACTTTGGGAGTAGACCTTCATGGTATTTCGTAAGGAAGCAAAAAAGGAAGGGAAATTATTATTCAGGCAGAGGGACAATAGTAACCTTTCATTAAGCGAGACAGAGTTCAGCACCAGGTTCCCCAAATCCTGGGCTCTGCGTCGGGGGAACTGAGCACACCCCAGCCGTTTCCTCTCTCTTTCACGGACCAGACTGCTTTAAAAAGTTGGTCCAATATCATCTAAAATGTCTAATTTATACTCTATAACTCAACAGTGTAATATTTAAAAGGCCGCTTTATGTCTTTTTAGAAATCCTTAAAATCCTAATGACTTCAGAGAATTAGGATCTTTGTTCTCTGAGGGCTTTAGATGTGACCTCTTGGTTACAGGGACGGACCTCAGGACAGGGGTGGATTCCATGCCCAGACGGGCCCGGCGATTTTCAGTGCAAAGGGGAGCGAGTTCTGCCCGGGGTCCCCTGAGGTCACCCGTGATGTCCACGCGGAAGTGAGGAGCACCCCGTGTCACCTGTATTGTAATTTGTGAAGAAAGGGCCTTTAAGGCCGCAAAGTCCACGAACACCTCTGAGATCTCCGTTTAGCGATTATGATGGAACTAGGAAGTAATTTCAGCCCCTGCTCTGCAGAAAGATGTCACAGAAGTTCCCGTGCTGAAGGTCACACCCATTACTCATAAGAGCTTGTCCATCATTCTTAACAGGCTTGCTTTTTACAAAGATCACATATGGAGTGGTAAACCCACATGGCGTAAAGTTGACCATTTGCACCATTTTTAAGCCCACAGCTCAGTGGCATCAAGCACAGTCCCATTGCCACCACCCATCTCCAGAATTTCCTCATCACCCCAGACTGACACTCTGTACCCATCACACCGTGAGTCCCCCTCCCCTCCTCCCCAGGCCCGGGAACGCTCTCCTGCGTTCTGTCTGTCTGACGTCGACTGTTCTGCATCCCCAGTAAGTGGGATCCGGCAGTATTTGTCCTTGTGTGTCTGGCTAGTTTCACTAAGCACAATGTCCTTGAGGTTCAACGTGTGGTAGCATCTGTCAGAATTTCGTTTCTTTTAAGGCTGAATAATTTTCCACCCAATTTGTTAAAAAAAAAAAGTTTCTCACAAGATTGGTTATCATATTTTTCCAGTCGGTGGAAACACGAAATACAGTAAACTGGTACTGAGTGGGCAGGAGAGGCCTGTGAATTGTTAGAAAAATTATTGTAAGAGTCTGATTGTAAGGAAGAAGATAAACATGCTATTAAACCGGCCCAGGGACTCGGAAACACAGCTGTCAGAGGCTCCTCTGTGTGGGGCACACAGCAACGGAGATGTCACCAGCCCCTGAGGTCACCCTGGCTTGTGGTACGGGACAGTCTTCCTCGTCCTCCCAGTGCTGCCGAGTCATCAAGACTGGGGTGACTGTCCATGGGAAGAGTTGAAGAGTTCAGGGAGGGAGGGTAATACATTTCGAAAACATCTCCCTTCCAAATGCTTACGCTTTTTTAAAAGTTTGGGCTTCGGTCACCTGAAAAATCCACTTATGTGAAATGGTTCGTTCCAGAATGGGGTGAAGGAGAAGAAGCAAAGCAATCATCGTATAAAAGTAAAATAAAGTCAAAAAGAGGCCGAGAGACTTCGAGTGGCACCTGCCCACCCGTTCCGTTGCTTCTCGGAGCAGGGACTGCGCGGGCGTGTGACTCGGTGGCGGTGCCGTTGGACCGCTGGGTCCGAGCGCCCTCTCCGCAGGGCGGCGCTGTCGGCACACTTAGCATAGGGCCTGTCCAGCTGCAGGACGCCGGGAGCTGCCTTGCGCGGCCTTAACTCTGAACACCTGCCTGGTGGCTGCGCGCTGAAACCTTTGCACAACGAAACGTGCTCACTGGCTCCTGCAGGGAGCTCGGGCCGCAGCGTTTCTGGACGTGTTCTCCGGCCTCACAGAGGGCAGTCTCCGGGGGGCACCAACTCAAGCAGACGTGTTACCGTCCAGTGAGTCTTTCCTGAGAAAGCGAAGGGTGGCTTCCCAGAGGAGGCGCCACCAGGCCTGGGTCTAGACGGTTAAGTAGGAGCTTCCCCGTGGACAGTGGGAAAGGGTACCATGTGCAAAAAAACAGTGTGCCAGAGGTTCTGACGAGAACAGTACAAGGTCAGCGTAGCCAGAATATAGGGGATGGGAGGAGGTGGAGCCGGGGGCTTCGTGGAGGCTGACTCCCCGGGGCCCTGAGTGCCTCCTCGAGGAACTTGGACTTGACCTTCCGTGCAGTGGAGAGCAATGAAGCGGTCCAGCAGGGCAGTGATTTGTGTTGCTGGCAGAGAGGGCCGCAGGAGGCTGGACGAGACAGCTGTCCATCTTGGCATGGGCTGAGCAGCTGCACCTGGGCACCTGCCCCGAAGGGATGGCATGACCAGGAAGGGCATTTCAAAGGCAGAATCAGCAAGGTTGTTCATAGGAGTTGAGTATGGATGCAATTGGATCATGACTGGATCCACAGTGCTTAGCACAGGGCACGCACATAGTAGGTGCCTAATAAATGTTGACAGATTGAATGCATGGACAGTCATTCTGCTATACTTCTGCATGCGTACAGCCAGGGTGTCCCTGGCTGAGTGGACATTGCAAGTCGTACTGGCTGCATTCGAGGGACACTGTGGTTCTCATGGTGAAGCAGATGTTCATAGGTATATCCTCTGCATGAGACACTTTCTAAACACTCTGTCTACCTTAATGCATTCACTTCTTCTTTTTTTTTTTTAATCCTCACCCGAGGACATTTTTTTCATTTCTTGTTCAGCTAGAGTGGGAGGGAGAGAGAGAGAGAAACATCGACATGAAAGGGACACATCGAGTGGTTGCCACCCGCACGACCCAGCCAGGGCCGGGGACAAACTGCAACCGAGGTACATGCCCTTAGTGGGAACTGAACCCGGGTCTCTCTGGACCTCAGGCCAATGCTCTAACCACTGAGCAAAACCGACCCGGGCAATGCATTCACTTCTTAAACAGTCCAGGAGTTGGCATGGTTTTATTGTCTTGCAGATGAGGCTTAGAGAGGTGACTGGTCACAGCTGCTTTGGTGGTTGGGCTGGGATTTGAACCCAGGCACCTGCGGAGTACTGGGTGCTCTTAATCACAGCACTGTGTCGCCTGTCTTCTGGAGTTTTCCAGGAAACTGCTTTGACCGAGGCCGCAGAAGCGACGACTCGGGGTGAACGCGACCGGTGGCAGGATGCAGAAGAGCCTGTTTAGGAAACCATTTATCTCACGTAGACATACCATCTGAGATGACCTTTGTAGAAATAACAATGGCGATAATAACAGCCCTGCAGTCTTTACCCTGGCGTAAGAAACCAGTTGGGTAATGAACGTGGAATTTCTCTGGGAAACAGTCCGAGAAAGAGATAGGCAGCTGAGATAAAATAACAAACTGTAAACTGCATCACGTTGTGTTCTCTGTGGTTTTCCTTCCACACTCGCCTTCTCTGTTCTCCGCTGACTTTCCGCGTTTGCCGCCTGCAGATCGGGCCACTGGGTCCCAGGGGGAGAGAGGTGTGTGCCCCCGAGGCTGTCACACCTCGCCTGGAGTTTGCCCCGCGCCATGCGGCTGGAAGGAGGGGTCCTGCAGGGTGAACATTGCATCTGGGCGGGAGGCCTGTGGCTTCCAGGAATGAAGGGTGGTGAGTTTGGTTTCCCAGGTGGCCCATGGGCGGCATCGGGCTCCGAGGCGCTCAGGTGTGCGTACCGTCATGGCTCATTACAGCCCCCCCGAAGCCGTGTTTTTGTGCCATAGGTCAGAGTCCTATAAAATAAACTCTTGTCATAACAAAGAATGCAGCCGCCAGATTACATCTGGGTCTGCCCCCAAGGACTCTGCTTTTCTTGTCCTTGTGGGGAGGGGATTCCATGCTTATGCTGATTCTCATTGGGGGCTGTCTTGCTCCACCACCCTCCTAGATGGTGATAAATCGTGGTAAATGGTGATAAATAATGGTGGCCATAGCCGTGTGGACACAGAGTGGGGCCTGGACACCCAGCCAAGATCTCTTGGCTCTAATTTTATGCAAATTCGCAGCATGCAAATGGTCTCGCAGTGATGCAGGCCCAGGGACAGGCAGTCACGTGGAGGAAGGACACGTCTGCAGTGAGGCAGGTTAAAGGAGGTTTGGGGAGGAATGGTCAGTCCATCAGGAGCCTGCGCCAAGGGTGTCGTCATGACAAGCAGCCTACAAGACAGGACTTCTATGTTTTGAGAACAGGAGAAGGTCAACACAGACCTAATGCTTCTTACAGTTCTTTATTCCTCCTCTTGTCCCAATGATGTTCCATGGTATAGGCTGCATCCAAACACTTGAGCATCCCACATGTATTAACTGGGCACTGACTCACTACAGGGCTCTGTGCTGGGCACTACAGAAGGGCTCATAGGCACCGTCGAAGTGTGGAGCCATATGCTATGTCTAAAGTTTGCACCGTCCAGTATGGAGCCACTAGCCACATGTGGCTACTGGGCACGTGGTATGTGGCTGGTCCAAACGGAGTGTGATTGGAAAAATGGAGTGTAGAATACATACCAGATTTCAAAGACACAGTGTGAAAAGACAAGTGAAATATTTTATTAGTAATTTTTGTTAATTGCACATTGAAATGATATTTTAGATAGCATTGGGTTAGATAAAATAAATGTGGCCCCTAGCAAATGTAAAATTACGTATGTGGCTCACATGATATTTCTATTGGGCATAACTGGTCTAGACTTATAACCATTTATTGTACAGGGTGGTCACCTTTTTAGTCCCATGTCTGGATATCATTATGCAGGAGGGTAGAAAGGCCTTTCTGTTTTGCACAGACGGGGGAGAGTCAGGTGGTGTCGTGGCACATCGTGTAACACTCGACGGCATGCACTCACATCCAGGTTCTTGTCGATGCTGCTCGTGGTCCACTGAGGGGGCAGGGAAGGGCTGGCCACACATGGGCAGTGAGTATCTTGGAGTATTGGAGGGGAGCCTGCCCACCTGCTCTGAGTCAGAGCTGGGAGGAGCATTTCAGAGTTTTGACTTCTAGTCCAACTTCTGTTAAAAATATACTAATAATCACCCTCAGAAATATTGTTTGTGTTTCTGTACTAGAGGTAATAGGACAGAGTCCTCCTTGGAAGTAACTATGTATGTGTGTTTTATGTATTAAATGGACACAGCATGTCCTGCAGGTAATGTGACACATTGGTCATTGGAAAGGTTGGGCTCATGTTGAAATTGGAGACCCACGAGGTGAAGGCAGGGTTTGGGTAATAGGCATGTTGCCATGATAAGGATGTTTCTTCTGTTGGGAGCCATCTATTGTCATGTCAGATTCTTGGCAGCATGGAGCAAGGTTGGTGGATCGCACCTGTCAGAAAGGCCTGAGATTGAGTCAGTCACCCACGGGATGGAAGGATGGGTCACCCTGGACCAAAGAGACAAGGGATCCGATCCAGGAAGTCACCTCGGAGTTATTTTATTCACACACTTTTAACACCAGAGGTGTTATACCCACAATCAATCAATTCTCCAACCCTCTGGACACCAACCGGGTGTCCTATAATTTAACTCCATTTTGACGCTAGCTTCCCGGGGTTAGCATCGGGTCCCACAAGTGGAAGGCTCAGTCCCACAAGACTGCCGCCACTGTAGACCCCAGTCAGAAGTCTAGGCCACCCCTACTTCTTAATGACCGGCTAGAAATGATAGACTTCCGTGACCCCCTCCTCACGTTGGATAATTTGTTAGAATAGTTCGCAGGACTCAGGAGACACTTAACTTACTGTGGCTGGTTTGTTATAAAGGACAAGTCAGAAACAGCCCATGGAAGAGGTGCACAGGGCAAGGTATGAAAGGAGGGGGTGGAGCTCATTAACTTCCCATCACCTTGACCTATTTACCCACCAGGGAGCTCTCGGAACCCCGTAATTTAGGGGCTTTAATGGAGGTTTCGTAAGGTAGGCACAATTGATTAAATCATGGGCCAGCGATGATTAACTCGCTCTCCAGTCCCTCGCCTCTCCCTGGAGGTTGGGGTGGGGCTGGAATTTCCAACCCTCCGGTCCTGCCTTGGACTTTCTAGTGACCAGTCCCCATCCTGAGGCTGCCTAGGGATCCCAACCAACAGTCATCTCATTAGCACACAGAAGACTCACCACTCTGGACCCTGCCAGGTCTTAGAAGCTCTTATGTTAGAAACTGGGAACCAAGACCAAATAGAAGAAAAACGCTCCTCTCACTCTGTCACTCAGGAAATGACGAGGGTTTTGGAAGCTCTGTACCAGGAACGGGAGACAAGGACCAGACATACCACCATATCACACACCCTCTATTGAAGGAGGGTGGGGGCCACTCCTCTAGGGAACAAGAGAGAAGGTCAAGGTCAAGAACGGGAGTCGGGCATGACGGGCGAGACCAGCGTAGCGTGGAGGGCGCTCGGGCCAGGGCTTCAGATGGATCCTCCGAGCCCTCCAGGCCTTGCTGCTCGGGGCACACCGCACACTTCTGAGCTTCAGGTTCTTCATCTGCAGACAGGGAGTTGGGTTGGAGGGTCTCTCATGAGAAAAAAAAAAAAAAGGTGTGATTCTGTGAGTTTTGAAGTCCAGATAACCCGCAAGAACAGCACGAACAAGCTATCGATGACACCACAGGCACTGGGTTCCGACTGCTGTTCTTTCTTCTACGACACTTGGGGGCACCGAGGTTCGTGGCGGAGGCCATAACTGGCCTGGACCACTCAGTCGGCCTGGGCGAGACAGAGGCCGGCTCTAGGATCATCTTACAGCTGAGCCAATACCCTGGTCTTGTAGGGTGACATCCACACATTTAGACTCTTCCTTGGCTCTCTCTGCTGTCCCTGTCCCTGTCCTTTCTATGAGTTATCATTATTTCTTATTTTATGTCCTGAGAGCCTAGTGCTTTGCAGGCAGCAATTCCCTCACGTTGATCATACGCTTTTGTAAATCACTGCTTGTCCTCTGTCCACAACTATTTTCTCTGCCTTCTTCTTCCTAAAAATGAAAAAGCTTCTGGGCCATCGCTGAGCGACAGAAAATTTTAACTGCTTGTCCTCTGCCAAGTCTATATTGTAATTGCTTTTAGTGGGTGTGGGGCGAAGAAGCCCTTGGGTCTTGAGGTAGCTTTGTGCTTTGCAGAGAAGCCCCCAGGAACACATTCCCCCAAGGAGGGTTCCAGCCACCCCTTCAGCCTCATGAGACTTTGCTGAGCCCGCAGAGCCTGGCATCGTTTCTGTTGGAATGAGCAGGCTGGCTGAGCCGCTGTAAAACACGGTGGCAGAAGGTTTGGTCTACATACCAAGGCAGCAGGAGTATTAATTGCATTCTCTGTGATCACAAAAAAAAAAGGTGCCAAATTATTTTCTTCATGTTTTAAGAATGACAGGCGTTTGCTCTGCCAACGCTAAGCATCGTGGTATCACATGGGAAGGAGCTGCTGGATTTAAAAAAAAAACACAAAAACTAGTGTAGCCGTGAAGATGTCCGGTAGGCAGCTCGTTCTTACAAAGATCTAGAGATGACCTGGTTCAGAATGGATGCCTGGAGAGGTCTGGACCAGGGCGAGGAAGTGTTTCCACACGTGTACATGATCGGGTCAAGCATTTTCCACTTTAATGTATTGTGTTAAATTTTGGAATGGGACTTTTCAAGTTGCCCGCTAGTTTGATCGTGTTTTCCTTGGAACGTGGACTAGAGAAAAAGTGGTGATTTCTGTATTCTCCCCCAGGCCCTGAACAAACACACACTCGTGAATATTCCACATATCCGCCTGACGCGCACCGTGCCGTTCCACGCTGCCACGTTGTTCCACGCTGCCACGCTGTTCCACGCAGTGATTCGTCTGAGCCTCTTGTTCCCCCTCCAGGAATCCACCCCCTTCTCAGCCCACACTCACACCCACCACCCTGGCACATGCACATTTTCTTCCTGGTCACTCTCACCTCTTAGCCTGGGAGGACGTTCCGTCCAGACTGTGACAGTGTCACTGGGTGGGCGGTGGTGCAGCAGCAGGTGTGTGCCTGTGTGCTGGGGGTTTTCCTAGGCCGAACATGGTTATTCGGTGCAGCACCTCACCCTCCCTTCACAGCCCCCAAAAAAGAGAAGTACAAACATGGCTCATGTTCAGGGTTTGAGTGTGTTTTGGTTTAAAATGTTCAGTGGGGCCTGGCCAGTGTGGTTCAGTGGACTGAGCATTGTCCCATGGACTGAGAGGTTGCCGGTTCGATTCCTGGTCAGGGCACATGCCCAGGTTGCAGGCTTGATCCCCAGAGGGGGATGTGCAGGAGGCAGCCAATCGGTTTCTCACAGTGATGTTTCTATCTCTCTCTCCCTTCCTCTCTCTATAAAAAATCAATAAAAAACCATGTTTAATTATTTATTTTTTAAAATTCTCACCCGAGGATATTTTTACATTTATCTTCAGACAGAGTAGGAGGGAGAGCGAGCGAGCGAGAAACATCTATGTGAGAGAGACACATCAATTGGTTGCCACCCGCACGACCCCAACTGGGGCTGGGGATGAACCACATCCAAAGTACAAGCCCTTGACTGGAATCGAACCTGGGACTCTTTGGTCCACGGGCCGACGCTCTAACTGCTGAGCCAAACCGGCCAGGGCTAAAAAAATCATATTTAAAAAAATGTTCAGTGGGTAAGAGAGCATTTCATTCTGGGCGGTGCCATCTGGAGAAGTATTTTAATTTCATGTGATTAACCCTCTCCTGCTTGCGGGGCGTGTGGGGGTGGTGAGGGAGCAGTTGCTGAGACCCTGGCTTGTCCCTACTGGGAAGAGGCTGGGTCCACCCAGGTGCTGGTCGTCAGATGCGCACGTCACATGTTCACAGGCGGCTTAGAGCCCAGCTTGACTCTGCGCGCCCCTGTCTGAGCACACAGGGAGGCTCCGGCAGCCACCAGCTCATGGTACACAAGCCATCGCTGGTCCTACCTGTCACCTGCTTTAGGAGGAGGCTGCCCAGACCATGAGAATCTGTCTCAGGCCTGTTTGCTCACCGCGTGCGGTAGAGAATTCGCTTTTCTTTCCGAATGCGTGGTGTGGAGAGCGCCCCACTCACGCTGTGCGCCCTTCTGCAGCAGAAACCTTTCCTGCCGGTCCCTCCTCCCACCTACACACGCACCTGTCGCACCCACAGAATCAAAGAGAGCTGTGAGCTCTTCCTCCGTGTCTTATCTTGTGGCTGAAGAGCGATTCATTCACGACACTGGTTGGTGAAAATGGTTCTGCCGTTGCTTTCTTTCAAAGACCATTTCTTCTGCTGCCAGTTCACAGAGCAGCTGCCGGGGCCACCCAGTGACCCCGTGTGCGAGCCCCGAGCTTCGGATCCAGAATGCAAGTCCCAACCGAGACTCGGCTGAGTGCAACGCAGAAAGTCTGGGTTGTTGGTTAAATACATCGCACAATGCAGAAGGAAAGGCTTTCGAAAATTCGGTATCTCGTTTCAGTGTTCGCCTTGGTTTAGTCGCTTGCCATTCTTTCATATGTAGGATGACCATAGAATTCGTTGTCCAAGCTGGGGTACTGGCAAAAGTGAAAAGCGGTTTTACTGGTTATTATACTGGGCCATCTGGGTAAACTGGGGTGGTCTCAGGTACACTGGCACCTATAGTAATAGTCCTGGACATATTCATTTTATCTTTTGGGGGATTGGACAGGATGATGATGATGATGATGATTAATTTTTGGTTTTGTGAGGAGTCCTTTCCGCATTTTTGTGAAAACCAGACGAACTCTCTGTAGGTGTCTGTGTCGTTATAAACCACCCAGCAAACTTACGCACTGGAGCCCTCCTAGTTGCTCCGCCCAGTCTTTCTTTAGGGTGGAGCCAAACCCCACATTTCCCTCTCATGATGCGGCCACATCGCATTTTCTCATTGCATCGCTCTCTCCTGAGCTCTGCACCGCTTTAAAGTGTCTTCTAGCCCTGGCCGGTTTGGCTTAGTGGTTAGAGCGTCGGCCCGTGGACCAAAGAGTCGGGGGTTCGATTCTGGTCAAGGGTACATACCTCAATTGCAGTTGGGTCCCCGGCCCTGGTTGGGGTCATGTGGGGGGCAGCCAATCGATGTGTCTCTTTCACATCGATGTCTCTCTCTCTCTCCCTCCCACTCTATCCGAAGATAAATGAAAAAATATCCTCGGGTGAGGATTTAAAAAAAATAAAATAAAATAAAATAAAGGGTCTCCTAGCCTTCTTGGGCTCTAACTGAACTTCCTTCCCATGGGGCTCTTCTCTTTTAGATATTCATTTCTTTGTTTAGGAGCCTAATAGGATGACGAGACATTAGCTAGATTCTGTGTCTGTTGTACGGTTGCCTCCTAGCTTCCCTCCACGAGAAAGGAATGCATCCAAAAAGCCCTTCAGCATTAAAAACATTTCTGTTCAGGAAAAAAATTGAAAAAGACTACCCGTGTGTTTGATAGTGTGACAAAGGGTTGTGAATGAACTAAGTCCTTCAGAGGTTATTTGCTCACTCTTGGGCAGTGCTCAGGATAAGCCTCCTTGGTTTAAAATGTTTTTTATTGTTTTTTTTGTTTGTTTTTAGAGAGAGAGGAAGGGAGAGAGCTAGAAACATTGATGTGAGAGACATACATCGATTAGCTGCCTCCTGCACGCCCCCTACTGGGGATCGAGCCTGCAACCTGGGCATGTGCCCTGACCGGGAATTGAACTGGGAGCTCTCAGTCCGTGGGAGGACGCTCCATCCACTGAGCCACACCGGCTGGGCTAGGCCTCCTTGGTTTGAATCACAAACGCCAAGAGGGTGGGAGCTCTGTCTGTTTAACTGTACATGACGCCCAGTTCGGGGCCGTGGGCCCGTTCGGAGTCTTGGTTTCCATGCGCGATGATGTGTTCAGGAGCATCTGGCCGCAGGCGACCAGAGCTGTCCAGCTAGGTCATGTTCCCATCAACACTGTCTGGTGAGTCTTCGATAAGAAGAGTGATGACTTCTTTGAAAAATGCACAATATTTTTATAACCTTGAACTAGTCAAAATAATACATTTTGGGAATCGTTTAGAGATCCTTTCAACAAGTAAAGAAGCATGAAAACCAAGAACCCACACCTCGAGAATCTGATATTGGAAGACAGTCAGCCTCATCTTACTCACGTGACGCTTGAAAACCTGATCCACTTCTTGCTTCTCTGGCACTTCTCAGTCTGCTGCTAAATTAGGCCACAGGAAAGGGATAGCCACCTTCAAAGAGACAGTTGGGTGGGCAGGGTTCTTTCTCTTCGTGGAAAACAGCTGTGGGTGCGGGGGGGGAGGGGTCAGGCTTTTGTTCCACGCAAAGGTGGGAAGGTTTGGTCTTGAAGCGCGTCTCCGCTCTGTGGAGGAGTTCGCAGACGTAGGCTGCTTGATCAACATCTCCGAGGTGCGTTTGAAAGGTGCTGATAAAGACCTGGGAGAGAGAGATGGGCGGGATAGGGTAGGAGTAAGAAAGAGACATTCATCCTACACGGTGCTCATCTCTTCTCTTGTTTTTGTAGCTGTGGTGACTGAGGGTGAAATGAGCCAGGTTATTCGTTTCCATTGCCTTCCACCCGACAGAAGTACCTATATGAGCCCTTCGTTGTTTTCCCCCGCTGAGTGAAGCCTGGGCACGGAGAGCTGTCCCAAGCAGCTTTGCCTTTTCTCCCCCTCCCCCTGCTCGCTCGGGCTCCAGTGGAATCCCACGCAGAAGTGTAGTTGCGCATTACTCTTCTTATGAATGAGATGTTTTCTTTATTTCGGTTAAAACCAGTTTTAGGAATTCACTTTTGCTTTGCAAAATGTGTTCTGGGGGAATATGTCGAGTAAATCTTTTGGAAGGTCCTTTAATACCTTCTGTTTACCTTGATTTCTCTCTCTCTCTCTCTCTCTCTCTCTCTCTCTCTCTCTGTCTCTCTCCTTCTGCATCTCCACTATACCATTATGCAGCTGATTCTCACATGGGCATTTCTGCAGACTCCAGTCCTGCTTCTAAACTATTTCCTGATGAGCTCACCTTTCCACCTGGATTTCCTGTTGGCAGCTCAAATTTAACATATAATCAAAACATTTAATTCAGGACTAAACGTATCATTAT